ATCCCAGAACAAATTGTTGTTATGCAAAACATAGAAAGAAAAAAACCTCACAGTAAAGTATAACATGATAAAACTGATTAGTCCCAAATTGACAAAGGGTGAAACAAGCCTATCCATTCATTTATTTATTCAAAATATATGCTAATATATACTGAGGAAAGCTAGATTGGAAGAATATCAACGTGATTTAAAACTGGAGGAAAAACATCAAGCACTCTGATAGTGAAAATGAAAATGTAAGCTCAATAATAAAAGTCAAGAAGTACAGAAAAAAATGCAACTGTGAGGAAAAGAAATAAAAATACAGCAACCAACATTAAAGTCGACAATAAAAACATTGAAGTGGTGGATATTTTTCTTATTGATCAACTATAAATAGTTTAAAAAAAACCAGCAGTTGAGAAATACCTCTGATAAGAAATGAAGAACCTGGAAAGATATTCAAGTATAGTGACATGTCCCTACCTTGAAAAATGCAAAATCATACAGGCAATAATTTTCCCTATAATATCTAATGACAGTCATATTTGGACTTTGAAGAACCAGGATGGAAAGAATATTGATACTTTTGAACTTTGTTGGTGGAGAAAACACTTTAAGCCACTGAAAGCCAAGGAAGCAAATATTTAAAAAAAAAACAAGAATTTCCACTTGAGGCCCAAATAACCAGGCTTAAATTAACGTATTTTATAACAAAAACCCAGCTCCCTGAGGGCCCAAAATGATGAGAAAGATAGTTCATCCTGGAGAAGTTGGTCACATCAAGTTGATATTGACAAGTTAGCAAATCAGCATTCTATGTTTTTTTTCAACATTGTCCATTGAGGGTTTTTGCAGATTCTATTATGATGGATTATAATGAAAAACAACATTTGCATTTCTCTCTCTCTCTCTCTGAATATGTATATATCTGCTCTGCTTCAGTATCTGCATAATGTTATATCATTTTTTCACCATTCAGTTTTTTGAATGTGGTAAATATAGGTTAGTTGATGGATTAACAAGGGCCATCTAAGTAAAGTTGTGATGGAAAACAGATTTAAAATACGAAATTTCTAAATCTAATAAGTATAAATCAGCTATCTTAATTGCAATATTGTTTGAGAGAAATGAGGTCAATCATCATAAAAATATGAATCCTTTTATCAACATTGTCCCAAACATAAGCAAGCGGTGTTTTAATTTGAACTAGTACTCAGTAGAGGTATTTCCTCAGATTATATAGAGAGAAACCAAACATTTTCCACCCACAGTGAAGGCAAGAAATATAGAAAAGCAAGCATACAAGTAAAATGTATTTTCAGGTGAAATGGCTATCTGTAGTTGAATGTTAGGGTTAGGGTTACATACAGTGGTGGGATTCAGCCAGTTTGCACCTATTCGGGAGAACCGGTTGGTAACTTTTAAGTAGTTCAGAGAACCAATTTTTGGAAGAAATCTCCTTTTGTTTTTTCCCACTTTACAGGGCTAATCCTGTAAGAAAAGCAGGAAGCAAACATTCTAGTGTTGTTTCTAGCCTAATCTTTATTGACCTGCTTACAGAAACTGCCTCTCCGGTTAACCTTTATTACATTGTAACAGCTAAGGCAAAGCGTCCATCGACCTGAGTGACATTGAGTTGGCCATGCCCACCCAGTCACATGACCACCGAGCCCCACCTACCCAGATGGTCATTAGGGCAGAGAACCAGTTGTTCAGTTATTTGAATCCCACCACTGGTTACACAAGATGAAAAGATGGCATAATGGCACAACAGTATTTCCAATTTAATATATGAAGAGACTTCAATAAATTGCTCTTATTGCTATCTAACACTGCTTTCTATTATTTCTGAAACTCTTTATTGAGTGCAGCATAATTTTTAAAATATATCCTGCCTTCACCCACATGTAAGTGAAATATTGAAAATTAAAACGTATTAAAATGGTAGGCAGATGATATGCTCATTAGTGATCTGAATTAGCAAAATATCAGTGTGTGATGATTCACTAGGCATAAAAGAGGAGCAGTAAATGCTGTGACTTACAATAAAACCATTATGTGTAACAAGGTGGAGAATAGGCACTGTAAAGCAAGACATGAAGGCTTGTCAGCTGCCTGGTTGTCTGAATAAGACCTCTAAGACCATGAAAGAAAGAAATCAAAGCATACTCGCAAATATGTATGTTCCCTGTAATACAGGAACAGCAATGTTATCATTTTATAGATTGACAATTCAAGCAATCTATCAGGCTTTCCCAACTGAATGTCCTTTAGAGCAGTGGTCTCCAACCTTGGCAACTTTAAGACTTGTGGACTTCAACTCCCAGAGTTCCTCAGCCAGCAAAGCCACTTGCAAAGCTGGCTGAGGAACTCTGGGAGTTGAAGTCCACGGGTCTTAAAGTTGCCAAGGTTGGAGACCACTGCTTTAGAGGGTTTGTATTTCAACTCTAACAATCCACAGCACATTGAAGCCCAACTAATTTGGAAGGCACCAAATTGGGGAAAAATGAATTACAGCAATCCAACATAAATGAAGACTTACATGTTTTAAACAGTGCTTTACTTCTATTCCATGGCAATGAATAGTACAAAAATAGTTACTGCATAGTTTAATTAGGAACATTTTGATAAGGGTATTCTGTATCCATTAAGAAATCTGACAGGAAATACCAAAATAACACTTTAAGAAAACATACAGTGGAATGAATGCCTGATTGTTAAAGAGCCCAAAGAGAATATTTAGGGTACATCTCAATTAATAAATCAAATAAAATTCAAGTTCAGGTTTGTTCTTATTTGATTATTTCATTTTTTCCTGATTTTTGAAATGCCTACTTTCACAATGGGAAGATTAAAACAATATGCCTTACCCCAGCCCAACTAGCAAGAATGGTAAAAACTCAGAATATTTTAAGAATTCAAACTTGACTATTGTTAGTCAAGTTGATAATATATTATCTTTTTCATAATCACTGATTCTTTCTAATAGCAAGAAATTAACAAATGCATCTGCAAAGCAATGCTTTAAATTTGACCTAGATTTATTGTAAAGGATATCAGAACATTCTCCCATAATGAATTGTTGAAAAAGCATGGTGGTCTGTAGGTTGCATTAACTAATCTAAATAGCTTTCACAATATAAAACATTGTCCTCCATAATAAACTCTTATTTAAACTACATTGGCCCTATACCATTTATTTTCCTTCAAGAAGAAATAAAAGTTTTCTTCTTTGCCCCTTGTAGATTTGTGGTTTCTCTTGGATTTTAGAATAAAGATATTATAAGAACACTTTTTTGTGAAATTGACAGAAATCTTCTGAAATAATCTTTGAAATTAATCCGAACAACCTGCTGTGTGTTAGATTCTTTGATTCTTCTCATCACAGAATGTATAAGTTGGATGGGAACTGACAAGTCTTCTAGTACAATCCTCCTTCATTTCAGGAAATCTACTAATCATCCTTGATAGGAGGCTGGGAGACCACAATTTTTAAAGACAGATTGTTCCATTGCCTAACTGTTTTACTCTCAGGAACTTGCTCCTAATACCTTCTGAGAAGATGAAAACATGTATGGCTTTAATGTAGATAAGAGCAGCTCCTTAGCATCATAAAACATCAAAAATGAAATATCTATTTTAATTCTTGCTTGTATAAAGCCCTAAAGAGTTGTTGGAGAATGAAGAAAATGGAAAATTAAAAGCTTATATATTTAACTTAATATTTACTTGTTAATAAACTAAAGCAAAGTGAAATGTTGCAGAACTACAATTTACAGATTTAACATAACAAAATAATATATATTCACTATAGGCAATTTTTCATAGATAATTCTTTAAATTTGTTTTTTTTTCCTGCTACAAGGATCAACACAATAAAGAATGCAATTATTATTGTGTGAGTCACACTGTTTTTCCACATGAATTGCAAGATAAAATAACTACCCATTTTCATTATGAGTGGATTTTTAAAAAAAATTCTAAGTTAGGGTTGGAGCACAAAGATCATAAACAAGTAAACATAATAAAAAGCAGAAAAATCTTCTATGTTGTAGAGTAGTCATTAATTTGTTATTTTCTTCCATTAAAAGATATTGAAGAATATCACTTCCCTGTGATGAAGAATATGATAAATTATAAGAACTGTTGCATTCCAGCTAAGTTATTATTTGGTAACTCTTTATAGAAATTCTAAATAAGGAAGGGAAAAAACTTGATGGAGTGCATGCTACTCTCAATAAGGCCATTATATTAAATTGGGATAACTTTTAATAATCATATTGGTGCATTGTGAATTGCATTAGAAAATACAATGCAATAGCAGAGTTGGAAAGAACCTTGGAGGTCTTCTAATCCAACCCTCTGCCTAGGCAGGAAACCCTATACCATTTCAGACAAATGGCTATCCATCTTAAAGACTTCCAGTGTTGGGGCATTCACAACTTCTGGAGGGAAGCTTGTTCCACTGATTAATGGTTCTGTCAGGAAATTTCTCCTCAGTTCTAAGTTTCTTCTCTCCTTGATTAGTTTCCACCCATTGCTTTTTGTTCTACCCTCAGGTGCCTTGGATAATAGTTTGATTCCCTCTTCTTTGTGGCAATCCCTGAGATATTGGAACATTGCTATCATGTCTCCCCTAGTCCTTCTTTTCATTAAACTAGATTTACCCAGTTCCTGCAACCATTCTTCATATGTTTTAGTCTCCAATCCCCTAATCATCTTTGTTGCTGTTCTCTGCACTCTTTCTAGAGTCTCCCCATCTTTTCAACATTGTGGCAACCAAAACTGAATGCAGTATTCCAAATGTGGCCTTACCAAGGCATTATAAAGTGGTATTAACACTTCTCATGATTTTGATTCTATCCCTCTGTTTATGCAGCCTAGAACTGTGTTGGCTTTTTTGGCAGCTGCTGCACACTGCTGGCTCATATTTTAATGGTTGTCCACTAGGACTCCAAGATCCCTCTCACAGTTACTACTATTGAGCAAGGTACCACCTATACTATACCTGTCCATTTCAATGCCTTACCTAAGTTTTTAAAAATAGTGAAATAGACACAAAGGATTTTTTTTCAAATTTGAGCTTTAACAATTACTCAAATGTAATCCATTCATTGAATTTTAACAGGCTATCTATGAAGAAACAAGATGTTCGTACTGACAAGGATGGTAGGGGGGAATGGATGTTTCTTACAATTTAAACATTACCTAGGAAGTTATTTTACTTCACAGTTTTCCAGTTTTCCCCTGGTTTTGTTCTGTTCTTTCTCTCACTTGATTTTCCTCTCATATATGCAACTATCAAAGAACAATATAATATCTACTGAATACTTTTGCTGAAAAGACATAATGCAAAAGACTTTTTTTTACTTCCCCCCATCCCACCAAATATGCAAACTAGCTGTTGTAAACTAACTTATGAAGGTAAACCTATCAATCGACAGTGAGTAATGGAGAAATTATTTTTTTTAATGATACCTTACTGTGAAAATATTCTGCCTCTAAATACATACGTATTCTTGATTTAAAAAGAGGAATCTTTGGATTGTAATTTATATTACTGTTTACAACTCAAAAAAGGATTAGCATTGAAAGAGAACTTAAAAGAGAATTTAAAAGTAAAACTGGCCAGCACCATGGAAAGGGGAGATGTTATCACTTGTTCATTTGTATCTTTAACGTTTTTCTTTCCATCCTACCTTGTTGTCACATCACTGATTGTCATAAGAGTCTTTGTGCTTTTGCATAATGCCCATCTTTGATGCAACAGAAATTCACATACAAAACATGGACATCTGAAGTAAGCATGCTGAAATACAGGCAGGAACCATAAAACCATGCACAAATATTCTCAGGGGTTTTCTCCAACAAAACTGACAGTGACATTTACATGCACCACTTAATATCACTCTTGGCCATGGAATAGTAGGGATGGGATTCATGACCATTCCTCTTTGTCAGTGTGCCCCTAATCATTTAACAGTTCTGAGGAATTTGGTGCAAAAATATAATATATCTCTGTTTAATAGTCCTTCCAACTTGAACTTGTCTTTGCTGGATTTCTAGTCAGTTTTCTGAAAGTTCCCACTGTGCTTCTCATCTTGCAAAACTTGTACTAGGTCTTTGCCAGAAACACAGATTAGTGTGCAAGTGTTTTTCTCAGCCACTGAAATAATTCTTCTTTGTAAATCATCTGCCACCGGACATTCGCTTCCACTGTTTCCACAGCTCGAGAGAAAGAGGCAGCAGATCTCTCTCCATAATTCTTTATAAATTTCTTTAGCTGGAAATAGAATTTAATGGTTAATTAAGACAGATCTAAAGAAAAAAAATGAACTTCATATAATTTACAAACTAAGGACAAAAGCTCTATGTTTCCTACTGAAATTCTTGCAGAGCCGAAGTGGCGCAGTGGTTAGAATGCAGCACTGCAGGCTACTTCAGCTGACTGTTAGCTGCAGTTCGGCTGTTCAAATCTCACCGGCTCAGGGTTGACTCAGCCTTCCATCCTTCCGAGGTGGGTAAAATGAGGACCCAGATTGTTGGGGGCAATATGCTGACTCTGTAAACCGCTTAGAGAGGGCTGAAAGCCCTATGAAGTGGTATATAAGTCTAACTGCTATTGCTATTGCAATATTTTACAGATTGAAAGTATAATAAAGCAACAAACTGCAACTGCCTGAAATGATATTGCAAAATACTAACGTTCCAATGCCTGATTATATTAACATCACTTCCTCTATCTCCCTTGTAATCCGGATGCTTTATGGCAGGGGTCCCCAAACCCCAAACCCCAACCCACTAACGGGCCTTGAGTCTTTTGGAACCAGGCTGCAGAAGTGTTGGGTGCATGTACACATGCATATACCCACTTGTGCAAGCAGGAGAGCAGCACGCTCCATTTGCACAAGCAGCGGGTGAGTATGCCTCAAATGGAGCTGCACACATGCTTGGCCGCCACTCAAGCGGAATCATCCTCCCCACCACCACCAGTCTGCAAAGCCAGAAAGTCTGCTTTATGGTGTAGACAGTTTATTCTTACATGTGTATCCAACCATAGAAAAAATAGAAACACGTCTAATGTAATTCTAGTTCACATTAAGCTACAACATTTACATTCTTCCCTGAAGAGTTTTTTCTTTATTAAATATAGTAAACATATTAAATTAGGGTGAATTAGGTTGATGAACTTTTTAAACATTTTATCATAAAATAATTAAGAATTCATTTGCATGTTGGGGGGGGCTGTTCAAGTACTACTAAATGTTCTTGGATTTAATATTTTAAATTCACATTATTCTATGAATAGTAGGTTTACATTGAACTTAGTTAAAACGTCATGAAATTTGATTGTCACTTTCTCTCTCTTTCTCATTATAAAAAAGACTATCTTTTCCTTAAATGTGAATGCAGCATTCAGATAATACATCATTTATAGAAGCTGAAATACATACATGTTATATGGAAAATGAGTAAGCCTGTTTTTTTTAGGTAGCACACAATGAACAAAGTGAAAAAGAGTACAAAAATAACTGTAAGTACTGAATATTTACCTCATTCAGTTCACTCTCTGAATTAAGAAATTCTGTGACTCCACTTATCAGTTTTGAATTCATAAATAACGCTTCTCCGTATCTTCATCACAAAGATAAAAAATATAAATAAAGAGCATTCTGAGTGACAATGATTTTGAATCATATATTATAAACTATATTACTGTTACAATTGTGTAACCAGTTACAGTTTCTGTTCCATAATCTCTGGAAATATTATATCCTATGGTATATGATCAATATCAATCATATTAAACTGAAGCTGTATTAATGGAGTAAAAATAGTCATATTTTTCTTCAAATTAAAATTCAATTCTATATATTGCATCACAAAAAATAAGGAAAAGTAGATTTCGGGCAGAGTGAAATTAGCCATTCCATACATGAGTAAAACTACAGGAAGTTAGATCAAGGTCATTATTAAATATAGTTTCATGATGTTTTATCTAAACATTTTACAGCAACAAAGAATCAAGTGACTCTTGAAATACACACACACACACACACAGAGAGAGAGAGAGAGAGAGAGAGAGAGAGAGAGAGAGAGAGAGAGAGAGGGAGAGAGAGACTTTTCTCACTTTTTATGGCTATTTAACTATGTACCCCCTTAAATTATTGGTATTGTAAAGTTTAAATATATGGAACATGAAGCATACAGTTTATCAAAATATTTTACCTTGCATTCAATATTTTCCACTTTTCTCTAAAAAATTTCCAAGCAAGATCTCTTCCATGTGGATTTCTAGCTACATGGATTATGACATCAATTGCATCCTGATCCAGGACAACTTCAGAATTAAGAGACAAGTTAAGAAGCCTTGAATAATAGGAGAAAGAGGGAAAATGTTTAGCTTTTACTAATATTTCAGCATCATGCCATTCAATATCTTGGGATCTCCAACAAAGGTCAAACATTGCTAGATGCTAATTGAAAACCTATGTGGCACTTTCAATATTTGTTTGTAAAATACAGAAAATAAGCTAAATCTACTTGGCAGATATTTGCTAAAAACTAAAATTAATTTGTTATAGGCTTCATGAATACTACTCTTAGGTTATATTTTTCTAAAATAATTTTCAAGTTAATATAGAGCAAATAAATTGGAATAAATGCTCAGCATATACAGTATTAAAAACTTTATCACTTATTTTTTCAGGAGGCAACTGGACTTTCTTGTTTTTTCTTAGAAGACATTTCGCTTCTCATCCAAGAAGCTTCTTCAGCTCTGAAAGGATGGTGGGGAATGGAAGGATTTATATTTCAGCTGTCTGCAAGGAATATAAATCCTTCTATTCCTCAGCATCCAGTCAGACCTGAAGAAGCTTCTTGGATAAGAAGGAAACATCTTCAAAGAAAACAAGAAAGTTCAGTTGCTTTCTGAAAAAGCATCTTTGGGACAAAGCATGATCTGGTTGACTGAAAATCTCCATAGATATTTTTTGTAACTTCTTCGGGGGAAAATGAGTAAGTATAAACACTTTAAAAAGGACATACATAAGCTAGGAACATTTAATATTTGGGACAATATTCAGACCACAAATGCTATTACTTCTACTGATACAAGACTGAGTTTGAAAAAATCAGGAAATATAGATTAAATGAGCATACCTGTTTAACAAATTTCTGTCATCACTACAGGTTAAAGCTTCTAATAATATTTTCTTCTCTGATACTGCTGTAGTTGAGTGGAATTTCATCCAGATGAATTCCCATACATCTTCATCCATCAGTGAAACTCCTGTGCAGTAGACGATGTCTCTCACATTTGGTGGTATTCTTCAAAAGAACATATAAAAACCACAGTGATATTGTATTTATAATATTTTCATGAGGCATAACACACAAGTTATAGTTCTGTAGTTTTTCTGAAGATGAAGACCATCTATATGTTATGCTGGAGTGCCATTTCTCAAGTGTAGTGTTTTTAAAAAGGAAAATAATAAATACAGACTAGTAGGGAGGGAAAGTATGACATGTAATTTCTAGGGTGGGAATATTCTGAGTAAAATTCTGTCCTCAAACTATTATCAGTATAAGTGAAAATTTAATACTCAATTTTTGTACTTTTTCTGAAATGGCTAGCAGCCTTGACGGGATAGGAAGGAGATATGAACTATGAGAAGATTTGGACTGGACTGTGAAAAGGCAGATTTACTTTTCAAATAAAATATATTAAATACACGATGACCACAACTGAATGTCCTCATCATGGAATGTCTAAAGTAGTCGAGAAGGCCAAGCAGCCTAACCTGACAAAACTTACCTATTATCATTTTCTCTTCCCACAGAGAGTAGGAAGAACAAGATCTGTCTCAGCTAATGTGTCAGGATAATTATTACTACTCATTTTTCATTTTTTCTTATGATGGAAAGGAATAGCGATTATTTACTATTAACCAATCTCTATAATGAAGGCATGTCTCTTTGTTTATTTCTGATGGTTGCAACAGTTCGGGATGGCTTACAAGAATAAAGATAAACATTTACAATGCTAAAGCCATTAAAAATTCTAAAGGAATATTAAAACTCAATGCCAAAAATATTAAGGCTCTAAAACTTGAAGAATGGCCAAAATAAAAAGATTTAAGGCACATGTTGAATTATTATAAGGTTCAAAACTTTAATGACATTTTTTCCCATAGAATGGGTACAAATGTTTTGATGTTAAGAAAATTTGTATCAGTACCTTCAGAATTTGACTTTTTTTAGTGTGAGATGAATTATACATAAATAGGTGGTCTTGCAATAATTTGTCTTAAATTACATAAAGTTTTAAAATAAATCCTTTGAGCTAGGCCTAGAGATCAACTGGCAACCACAGTATCTGTGTCAAATCTGATTTGTCAAGAATCTTGATCAGAGTTTCATGATTATCAAATCATTTTTAGCTGCCCACAACAATAGACAAATATATTCTTGGCTGACAAAGTCTTCCTAAAAGAAATCATGATTGCACTATGCTTATTTTAGCGAGTGTACAAAAGGACTAGCATTGATGATGACTAGTAATGAAATGTCTGCAAGAAAACAACCATACTCAGAGAGCATAAAGAACCCCTCATTTCAACCCTGAATAACAAATATTCTCCTTTATTAATAGAAAATACCTCACTTACCACAGGTACAGTAGAATAACTGCCTGAACATAATGGGCAGATAGAAAAATTTGAAACAAGTGGCTCCACACATAACCCGACTGTATAACATGAAGGGTTTTATAGGTGATGACCTATGAACTTTGAACTTCATTGAAAAATCAATTGGTAGCTCATGAAGCAATAATGATACATGGGTGTCATTGAGAATTCTTGTTACAGCTTTTGCCACTGCATTTTAATCAGCTTTAGTTTTCAGATGGTCTTTGAGGACAGCCTCATACAGAATGCATTGCAATGGTCCAAATGCAAGGTATGGGTAAAGAACTGAAGGTTCTTACTGTTGAGGAAGAGGTGGCTCCCAAGTTGAACTTGAATAAGTTCATCCTCCTGGCCATGGCTGCTACCTGATCATTGAACAGTTTCTGAGAACCCAGGGGAAATGCCACTGCCACTTCTATTTTGCCAGCATGGCATATTTCACTGGTAGGATGAACTCCACAATGGTTTCCAATGAATGTCTGCTGTCAAGCTGAAGACTCATGCTAGGTCCATCCAAGAGAACTGGGCCCACCAATGAGCAGTCCATTGGAAGGATCCCATAAGTCAACACTTCCAACCTCTATGGTCTCTTTAAATCTCTGTAAACATGCATACCTATCAGCCTACCACTAAAAATTAACCTAGAAAGAAAATTTCTGGCTTCAATTGATTATTGATCTTTAAAATCATCTGTATCTAACTGTATATTTGAATTCAACACTTTTGGGTTTTTTTTAATCTGTCCACCAAGAATGTAGATGTAAAGCATGTTTATATTTCCAACATACATTTCAGGATCTTCATTCATTCTAAATAATTTCTCTGGTGTCATGGACCAATGATAAGCTTTTGTTCTAGGCTGAAAAAGTTGAGGGACTCATCCAAAATCTAAATTATTTTTTCCTATAGCAAATTCACTGCCAGTGAAAAGAATGTTTGCCATAATCTATGTCCTCCTGGACAGCTATATGAAGGGATTACTCTATATGTTTATCTGGCTGTAAGCTCATTATGAATACATTGAGAATTCTTTCTGAGCAGTGTGATTTAAGTTTTAATGCTACTCAATTAAAGTATTTGTTACAACCCTTCACTTCTATTTACTTTCATTCACTTTTTAAAACTATGATGAATACTTCACAATTATTAACTTCTGTAAACATGATTTGAAATAATTCTATTTGAACAGTGTTGCGATTTGCTTGACCTTATTTATCTTACTTAAGAACCATAGTAAAAAAAAAAGAATTTGTTGGAAATGTGATTAAAAATTAAATACTTGTAGAAAATGTTAAAATAATAAAATCAAACTATGCTCTTGCAGTGAAATCTATTTTCCCAATGATTTATAATGCAGTTTTACAAAGTGCTAAGAAATAATCTTTTAAGTTATAATTAATTAGTACAGGCTTGTTCTTTTAAGTTTTAACAAATGGAAATGCATTTATAAAATAGCCCCTTAATTATTTATCTGCTAGGCAAATAGAGTTCTAATTTCTTAAAATGTAATTAGAGGCAGTTTAGACTGTTCTTTGATTTAGTGATATGCTTCAACCTCTTTATGAAAACCTTTAAGAAAAGAAAGTTAATCAGATGTCCAGTTAATTTTAAGAGTATAGTCCAAGCTTATTTTTCTTGATGTCCCTAATAGCATAATTGTTTCATATACTATAATGCTCTTATATGAATAGTTATGGCTATTATAGTTGATTTTAGAGTAAGAGGTTAATGTATTTTATATTTGTACCTGTACAAAGAAAACTGAAGTTATTCTCCTTCCTTTTCCTCTTTTCCCTTTCCCTTTGTACTCCTGAGTCTGTCTTTAAACTTTTGCTTTTAACCTTTCTTTTTACTTACCCCTCCATTCATTGTTTGTGTGGGTGTGGTTGTGGGTATGTACCCTGTTTCTCTGGAAATAAGACCTAGCCTGTTTTTACATCTTCATTTAATATAAGCCTACCTCCAAAATAAGCCCTACTTAAGAGCCTGCGCAGCCAGCCAGCTGCCAATTCCATCTGGTTTCTCGTAGTGCTGTGGCCACAAGGCAAGGCAGGGGGTGGAGCCACCCCAGGCGCCCCACACTGGCCTTATCTCAGCGCCCCTCCAACCAGACCATCCATGCCCTGACATTGCCTCATGGCAGCAGCAATAGCAGTCAAATCCAGCATTTCTTCTGGTTGCTCATGACCACAATGGAGCAGGAAGCTGAGTATTGTGGTGGTGCTGCAGCCGCGAGGCGAGACCAATGTTGGGGCGTGGATAGCCTGTCTGTGAGGGCCCTGGTGCAATGCATGCGGAGCAGCTTCACCCACCCTCCCACCTCGCCTCATTAAGGTGGGTTAAAAGGCCCAATCATGACCCACAATTCTACAGGCCATGTTTAATATCAAATACTCTGATCAAAGTAGAGGTTTTGCACCATTAAGCAGAAAACAATTGCTGACAGTTGCTGAAGAAAGCAATATATATTTTTACACATCTGGGAACAAGCCGACCCAGACAGGGAGTTTCCTGCCATCTTGCAAGATGTGTCCTGTTTATGTCACCCACCCATGATCTATAAGGTGCTGACTATGTATATTGTAAGAATAGTAATTGTTGGCCATCTGGCATAGACAGTTTTTGGTTCCTCTCATTACCTTATATGCTTAAACTCTGCCTCTATAGATGATGACGTGATTTGCACTATAAATGTATGGCTTTAAGAACCCTTCGGGGTTCAAACTTCTTATGCTGATTTGGCATGTTTGAACCTGCGCATTCAATAAACTTTTCCTATATTGCATCGCTTGGCTTCCTGGTCACTTACTTCTACAACAGTTTGGTAGATAAATTGCTTGCGTTATCATCCTTTAAGCTGAACCTAGTAGCCAAATGACATGAG